TTTAATAAAAAAAAATTGTAGATAAATAATTAAAATTTAAAAACTTTCATATATAGACAATTTTAATTTTTAGTCTCGTGTATCAATCTTTTTGCACCGGCCTATACATATGTATAGCTTCAACATTTTGCAAAACTTGGTAAAGATGAACATCCGAATATCATCAAGTTTTATGGGGTTACAAAGGGTAATTATTTAGCATAAAGTGTCGATTCGCATGTATATTATTGATTGACTTTAATGTGATAACTTTCATTAAACTAGACCCTATTAATGATCATTATCATTTGATATTACAATTTGCTGTGGATGGGAACTTACGCCAATACCTTAAAAAGAACTTTCTGGAATTAAGATGGCTCGATAAATTGCGATCTGCACACGAAATAGCTGAAGGATTGTCGTTTTTACATTCTAAAGGAATTTTGCATAGAGATCTCGTAAGAATACATATATGTATGTTCTTATTTATTTTAAATAAATTTATTTACTTAAATTTCTTAATATACTTAATAGCATTCAAAGAATATTTTAGTTCATAATAAAAGAATGTTGATTGCAGATTTTGGAATGTCTAAGTATAAGGACGAAAAAACTTTAGTTGAAGGCGGAATGTATGGATATTTAGAACCCCAATGCTTTATAAAGCATGATTATAGCCGCGACAAAAGGTCTGATATATATAGTTTTGGTATGATTCTTTGGGAGATTTCTAGCGGTAGGCCTCCTTTCGATTATTTCAAAGAGGAGGCAGCTATTATTTATCATGTACTTAAAGGAGGCAGGGAGAAAACTATAGAAAATACCCCTGATGATTATGTTAATCTTTACCAAAGTTGCTGGGATCAAGATCCTGCAAATCGTCCAGAAATAAAAATGGTTCTTAAGAATTTAAGAAATGTTCGGCTAAATGAAAAGTTTTCAACTGTGATCACTATTGAACATATGGAAAAAATTATTTCTTGGATCGATCCTTCACCATCTAATATCAAACACGAACTTAAATTAATTCTCAGGGGCAGCGAAGATGGTTTTACAAATAACATTTTTTATGAGAAATGTAAAAACATAGATAAAACTGTAATTGTATTGAAAGTTCAGGGTACAGATGAAATTCTTGGTGGTTATAATCCTCTTACCTGGGATAAACCAAAAGGGAAAGAGCCAAAGGAGTATAAAGAAACGAATGTTAGCTTCATTTTTGCATTAAAAGACATTGACACTATATACAGTAAAGTTAAACATGCTGATTGTGCAATTTATTGCCAAAATAAATCTGGTCCGTCTTTTGGTTATTCGGACCTTTACATGCATACATGCAACAAAAAAGTAAGAATATGGGCATGCTGTCCATGTGACTATAAAGAACCAATAAAAACTATTAACAGTGGATCTCAGAAACATCAAAAAATTCAACCCGAAAAATTTCAAATAGAAGATTACGAGGTGTTTCAATATTTATAGATTCATTAATAAAATTGGACTCAACCCATTTTTCCTACCATTTCGTCTTGAAGTTATTTTATTATTTTTAATAAACCAAACCTGCAGCATAGCATTTCATTCACTACATCACTTAATCGTATCCTAAATGTAAATATTTATTAGCACTTTATTGTAAAAAACAATATGCATTTAATAGTCAACACTATTTCTTAGTCAAAAAACTTGGCAGAGAGCAAGGACTATGATTTTTTTCTGCAGAGTGTAAACACTGCAGATTTCACGAATTAGTCTTTCAACTTTTTTTTTTTTTTGCCTTGAAATCTTTTAATTAAAACATCAAGTTTTTACATTTGATTTCGTGGGCTTTTATATCTAATAATTGTGGCGGATTAAAATGAAATATTGTACAATGTAAAAATAGACAAGCAACCAAAAAATAAAAATTTCTGAGGTGCATTTTTAGGGTTAGAGTTAGAGGTTAGTTTTAGTGTGGAGTTTATAATAAACAAGTATAAGTGGGTTTTGAGGGTTAAATAGAAACCCTCATTTCATTTTCATCCGATTTCATTATGATCCGCGACAAAAACTAAATTTGTATTTTTCATTCCTATTAAAAAACAAATAATTACACAAAGAACATATAAGTGAACGAAAAAAATCTAATAAAATGTTAAATAATTTGAAAATGGCTGATCTTTTATCAGTGATTTTGGTTTTGAACGAACGCTACAAACTGGCTTCAATATTCATTTAGGACAAAATCATCGTAAACGGATCAAAACTTCATAATGTATATTTGCTAAATATTGCAATGAAGAAAATGGAATTTTAAGATTAAAATTTGAATAAATAAATTTTATAAAAAAAATTATTTTAATATTATAGAATCAAGTATTTAAAAGAATTTATTGAATTTTATCAAATTAACTATTATTGACAACATATTTTTGCTTAAATTTTTTTTTAAAATTTGACGTAATTTTTATTTATCATAATAGATTGTTTGAAAACATATCATAGTAATTATAATCAAATTTAATAAAAAATTTTTGCTTGAATTTTGTAAATTTTAAATAAAATAAAAAATTTTATTATAATATAAATTAAAATATACGTGTGTATGAAGGGTCTCTGGCAGAGCCTTTTAGTAATCACTTTAATTATCAGAAGTGATCTATTATTTAATATTAATAAAAAGAACTCGTCTAGTGACTTTTATCTCAAAAAAATACATTAACAAAAAACTTATTTATCACTAAATTAATTTGTTAAATGGAAACTTACCGATCATTAATATGTCTATATATTCAAAATTCTTAGTATGTCTTTTCTAAAAAAATTGCTATTATTCGTAATTTCGTAAAACAATATTTTATTGAACTATAGAAATAAGTATTGTTTTTGCGAAACTCAGAATATTTAAAGAGTCGCGATTTTGGGTATCTTTAGATGGTTTGTAACAACTATTTAATTAATGTAATTTTTATATTTCTAAAATATTTTGTCATTTTAAATTGCTCCAAGATTCCGAATATTTAATAAAAGAAAGCATCCTCATCAGAAATCTAAACAATTAATCAGGTTTAAGCTTTTAAAAATAATTTAGGCATTTAAACAAGGGTAAAATAATTTAGAGATTTATCACTTTTTCGGATCTTAGTATTGAATCAAAAAATGATAATTTCAACTCAGAGTATTGGTTTCTGTAGATGCAACCTATTGGGGAGTTGTTATTTCAGACAAGCATCGTATATATCTCTTATTAGAAGCATAAATCATATAGGATGATTAATAACGAAGCATCTCATACAGTAAATCAGTGAGAATTAATCTATTATAATTTATTCACAATTTTATGAATTTTATCCTTAACAAGTTCACGTTCATTATAACAATTGTAATTATTTTCTATAGCTTTTTGATACCAAAATAATGCTTTTTTAAAATCATCAATAGTTCCTTTGCTTTCATAACATTTAGCAAGATCATATTGTGAAACAGATAACCCTATTTCAGCAGCTTGTTCAAATAATTTAAATCCTTTATCTGTGTCAACATCTGTCCCATAACCTTTTTGATAACATAATCCCAACGCATGAATTGCCATTACATTTTCCTTTTCAGCCGAGCTCTTGAACAGTTCAAATGCTTTAGAATAATTTTCATGTTTATGATAATAATCACCAAGCCTATATTCTGCTGCTGTGCATCCACTATCAGCCGCTTTAGTATACCATTCAATTGCTTCTTCCGTGTTTTTTTAGTATTCCAGCCATCTTCATAACATCTTCCCACAAAATATTGAGCAATTAAATCTCCCCTTTCCGCTGCATTAAGAAATAAGTCATATGCCGCTACGTTACTTTCCTCAGTACCAATATGCCAAGTTAAAAACAATCCAAGAAGACAACCATATTTTGGTTCATCTTTATGATCAGATAACCAATTAAAAATATCTTTATCGGGTTTTTGATGTTCAGATATGAACTTATCAATAATTTTATAAACTGATTTGCCTTCATTGAACAATTTATCGAAATATGAATATAATTCATCCACAATGTCCTGAGTTACTTGCGCTGGATCCTTTTGAATACCATTGAACGTAGTGTCAATGTATGTCTTAAAATCCGATATATCATTGAGCGGAATATCTTGAAAAAAGGGATCATTGATATAGTTTAGCCTCATAGAGACTTCTTCAAGTGATGGTCGGTCATTTGGCTTACTCTGCCAACATTCTAAATTCGAAGCAAAAATTCTAATAATTGCAAGAAATAATAATTCACAACGCTAGAAAAGTATTCCTGATTTTACAATAGTGATGACGTTACTGTATTATCACTAATGTAAAAATGCTTTTTATACTATATAAACTTACTTTCATAGATAGTGATATATTTATTGTTTATACCAGCAATTGCTTCTTCTCTTAAACCGTTTCTTATTCTTAACGGTAGGGTTGCTGAATCATTATCACTATTAAGAGGTGGTCTCTCACTCGATATTTCCCATAATAGAACTCCAATGCTATATATGTCTGATTTCTTACCCATTTTTTTTCTACGAGACTTCCCATCCTCACCTGTTTCTATTATAAAACATTGAGGATCAATATAAGGTATATTTCCTAAAATTTCACTTGTGGTCTTAGACATTGAGGATTCAGCAACACGTTGTGATAATCCGAAGTCGGCCAACTTTAAAGTCAGCCGATGAACGAGGATATTATTAGAATGCTTCAAGGTAGAAGGAAACTATTAATATTTTACTATAATATTACAAACTCATTTACAGCATATAAATTAAATTTACCAGATCACCATGAATAATATTATAACTATGCAACCATTTAATAGCATCTACGAGCTGAATTGCAAATTGAATCTTTAATTTCCACTCAATTTTAGTTCTTTTTTCACACAAATAATTGCGTAAGGTGCCATCATCTGCGTATTCAAGAACAAGTGCATATTTAATATCATCTGGATCTAATTGGTCTAATTAAAACAATAAATATGATTAGGTTTTCATAATTTTAACGTTACGTAAACAAATAATTAACAATATACTTACCCTTAATTTTATATATACCATAAAATTGAACTATGTTCTGATGTGGACCCACTAAAAGCATGTGTTTTAACTGTATATTGTCAGTTGATTATACATTTAGCTGCTTGATAAAAATCATCATATCATAATTACGGAGCCGTCATTACCTCATTTACAACTTCTTTACTGGTACGCTCATTACTCTCGATTACTTTCAATGCAAATATTTTTTCTGTATCTTGCGTGTTTTCAGTGTTTTTAATTGTTACTTTGTAAACTGTACTAAAAGGCCCAGTATTGATTTTTTTAAATTCTTCAAACTCGCTACTTTTATTTGCTCTTTATTGATCTTATCCTCAATCCAATTTACAGGCATGCTGACTAAGTAATTACTACATGATAACTAAAACAAGCTTATATATCAACGTGCGACAAACCAACGAATTTTATTTGTGCAAACAGTGTTACAAGGAGTTGAAATTCGTTTGATTGATTGGCTTTTTTTGTAGTACAATAAATGTGATATGTGGCGATTTTTAAATTAAAAAGATTACTAATACGTAGCTTGGTTTAAAAATTGAATCCATAAGTTTAGTTTTTAAGAATAAGAATCAAACTGGTAGATTTTAATTTGATTTAAAACAAACCAACAGAGTATCTTAAAAAAAAAAATATTGTGATTTAAAGGCAAAGGCGCTAAGATATATATTATTATGCTCGTTATGTGCCCCTTCCTCGCACATAACAGTCGTGACCACCGTTCTTATACCTAATACTAAAGCCACATCCTATCAAGCGCTCATTGAGCAAATACATCAGTGTCTAACGACGTAGTACAGTATGTGATAGGGTCGCCGAATAAGCCGCGGGAAGTCACGTGAGCAATTTTTGGGGTGTGGTGGGACATAACGATAATATCGACAAAGAAGGCAACAGATTATCAGGTTACTCAAATACTATTTAGTCATGGGCAGGCCCCATGACCCATTAGTCATATGGAAAGTCCAGTGACTCACAATAATGTGGCTCGACAATGGCAGGGTGCAGTCCAAAATTTCTGTATTTGATCATTTTGTGTAACATCTAAAACTAACCTTTTTTCAAACTTTAAGAAAAGTTATCTCGACAACCACCAAGCCAAATTCGATAAACATTTTTTATTTAAATTCATAAGTTTGTAGAATTTGGATAAAAAAAGGTTTATCGAATTTGGCTTGGTGATTGTCGAAATATCTTTGCTAGAAGTTCAGGAAAATTTTGGCGCAGCTTTATTTTTATAGACGAGTTTTTTTTAAAACTTTGAGCGAAACATTCTCATCAACTACCAAGTCAAATTTAATAATTTTTTTTTTATTTGCATTCTATAGATTGGTAGAATTTAAATAAAAAATTTTTTATCGAATTTGACATGGTGGTTGTCGAGATATCTTTGCTCAAAATTTAAAAAAGTTTGGCGCAACTTTATTTTTATAACCATTTTTGAAACTTTGATCGAATATATCTCGTCAACCACCAAGCCAAATTTAATGAATTTTTTTTTTATTAACATTCTACAGATTCGTAGAATTTAAATATAAAGGGGTTATCGATTTTAACCTGGTGGTTTATGAGATATTTTCGCTCGAAGATTTAAAAAGACTTAAAATGTCTATCAAAATAAAGCCGCGCCAAACTTTTTCTCAATCTTTGAGCGAAGATATCTCATTAACCACCAGGTCAAATCGATGAACTTTTTTATTTAAATTCTACGAATATGAAGAATGCAAATAAAAAAAAAATTTATTAAATTTGACTTGGTATTGACGAAATATCTTCGCTCAAAGTTTTAAGAAAAGACTGCTGCGCAAACTTTTTTTCAATCTTTAAGCGAAGATATCTCATCAACACCAGGTTAAATTCGATGAATTTTTTTTATTTAAAATTCTGCGAATCTGCAGTATGTAAATAAAAAAAAAGAATATTAAATTTGACTTGGTGGTTGACAAGAAATCTTCGCACAAAGGTTTAAAAAAAAAAGTCTATACGCCAAAGTTTTTCACGAAGATATCTCGACAATAACCATGTCAAATTCTATCAACTTTTTTTTTATTTAAATTCTACGAATCTGTAGAATGCAAATAAAAAAAAAAGATTATTAAATTTGACTTGGTGGCTGACGAGATATCTTCGCTTAAATTTTTCAAAACTCAAAATGTCTTAAAATAAAGTTGCGCCAAAACTTTCCTGAACTTTGAGCAAAGATATCTCGACAATCATTAAGCCAAATTCGATAAACCTTTTTTTATCCAAATTCTACAGACTTATCGAATCCAAATAAAAAACGTTTATCGAATTTGGCTTGGTTGTTGTCAAGATAACTTTGTTTAAAGTCAAGTTTTAGATGTTACACAAAATGTCAATCAAATCCGGACTGCCATTGTCTGCTCCGTTAACAAGCACATTAAATGCATTATCATTGCATAAAATTTTTAAATTTCTCCATGTGAAGAGACTTGGTCCGAGTTATTAAGGCCAAATAGAGCTCTAGACTATGTCAGAGGTTCTATTAAGGAATAACGAGATTAGACTACTAATTCTATGTGAATTTGGCTTATCGGGAGTAATTAGAGCGAAACGTTTAGGTTAGGGCAATAGACTCTCTATGAGTTGAACTCTATTGAGTTGTACTAAATCTAAGTTATCTTTATTACGGGAGAAGAACCCTTCCTTATATAGTCAATATTATATATAATAAAATTCTAGAAATTCTAACTATTCTTGTTATCTAAATTATTCTTGGAATCTAAACTATTCTAGCTATCTAAATTATTCTATGAATAATTTTTATTCCTATCATTCTTCAGATATAAGAATTTACTAGAAATTACAGGAATTTGTATTGTTTATATTCACAAAATAAGAAATAAAAAATAAAAATAGAATTTGGGGGACACTTTAAGAACAGTTAACCCAGTAATCAACAATTATTTGATAAATATATCATGATGTTATTTGTTTACCAGAATTAAATAAGCTGATCTAAACTATGCTTCTAAATTAATAGTCATGTGATATTGTGATAATCACTGGGTTAACTCTTTTTAAATCTTCTCAAATTTGGAGTTGATTTTTCCCTTACAACGTACTTATATACATTTGTATAAGTATATATAGACTGTATATACCAGATACAAATACAAATTAAAACTTATTAACAACTATGATAAATTTTTTAATCAAGCATTATTTTAATACAGTTTTTATTAATTTATATATATTACTATAGGTATGTATTAAAAATAGTGATATTTTTATATAATTCTAATTTATATACTATATTAAAATTTATTTTTTCAGTAAAATATCTTCAATAAACTATTTTTTGCTTTTAATATTTGTTGAAAAATTAGAATTTCTTCAGCAAATGAAAATTCTTTCTGCTCTTTTTCAAACATCTTAAAATCAAAAATTATTTTATAATAAAAATTTTTATATACAATACCAATAGTTTCAATTTGTTTATTTACTATATCTAGTTTTTGGGCTTTTTTAGTTCAGTCTGGGATATACCAAATTTGGAAATCACATTCTAGAAGGATCTACAAGCAGATTCATGCATTTGATTGGTTATTACACTTTTTTTTTATGCATATATTTGTATTAGGGTTTTACAAAATTTTATCTATCTATTCATTGCTAAACGATATATGAACAGGTAGTAAAAGCAACAAATTTTAATAATCCCAAAATAATGCTGCATAGTAAGTTGTTCTCAAAAAGGCAAATAAGAACATAAATTTATATTTGATTTGTATATTTTTAAGTAATTAAGTAAAAAGAAATAGAAATGTATACTAAATAACTTTTAGATCATTTTAGTTTATCTTTAGAAACTTGCGAGTGAAGTATAAATAGAATAAAAAATATATAGTTTAAATAACCACAAGAATAAGCATAAAACAAAGCAAGAACAAGTATAGAGATAAACTTAGCACAATAGTTGAGACGATTGTAGCATGTTACTAAAAATATATATAGTATAATATATAGTTAGGATGAATATAGTATGATAGATAGATTAGAGACAAATGTAACATAATAGTTGGGGCAAGCATAGTATGGTATTTGAAACAAGCATAGTATAATAGTTAAAATAAGCATAGTATAATAGTTTAGTTAGGAATGAATGTATTATAATAGTTAGAGAAAAACATAGCACAATAATTGAGATAATTGTAGGATAAGATGAATGTAGCATAATAGTTAGTAACCAATATAGTATAATAATTAGAATTTAGTACAATAATTGAAAAGGCTAGTTAGAATGAATATAGCATAATAGTTAGATAGATGAGAGTTGGTATATTCTGGACAAACATAGTACAATAATTAAAAAAGCTAGTTAGAATGAATATAGCATGATAGTTAGATAGATGAGAGTTGGTATATTCTAGACAAACATAGTACAATATTTAGATAGATTCACAGTATAATATAAGTTTAGTATATTTAATATAGTACAGGAGTTTGATAGATTTGAATATAGAATGAAAGCTTGATATTAATAATTTTATAGTAGTTAGTGCTAGATTCTTAATATTGTACTAGAGTACTGTAGTATATAGTTAAATTCCTAATATAGTATTATACATAGTTGTTAGTTTAAAATTAATAAATTAAATAATAAAAATATATTAAAAATAAAAAAATAAATTTAAAACAAAGTAAGCTTAATACCTATTATTAATTAACAACTATACTTTGAAAATTTTCAGAATAAATCAATCAATAATTTATTTTTATAAAAGGTATAATCAGTATTATCTATTTATGGTATATTTCCAAACTGTAGTTTAGAACTGTAATATATATATATACAGTCAGACCTCTCTAAATACACATCGTCGGGACTAGCTCTAGCACATGCATTTAGAGAGGTATTGCATTTAGAGAGGTAAAAATCTATAAATGTAATATTAGTTGGGCCCAAAAGAAGATATATATTTAGAGAGGTGCTGCATTTAGCGAGAGTGCATTTAGGGGGTCTGACTATAATATCTATTTACTATGAGGGCTCTCCCTTTTCCTTTATATAAGATCTAATATAGCTAATTTAAAAAGAATCTGATTATACTAATTTTTTTGTATGATATAAGTTATTAATATAGTATATACTTAACCTTACTCCCTAAAATATTATATAATAAATATCAGTATTCTTATTCATCTCTTTATAAAATATATTAATATTTTCTTTAAAGGGCTTAAATAATAAAGTAGCTTAAGTTGCACCAGAGAGTAATCCTGAGAGATCTGCTGGCATTTATACAACTGGGAAAACCCAGGAACTACAAAGGAATACAAACCGGTTTAGGGCAGTGCAAACACTCAATAAGTTCATAATCATGTAAATCTTGAAAATTGTTCTTCACTATACAGGAAGCTCATTTGGGAAGTCCTGAGTTGGGAGTAGCAGTGATCTTTGACAGTACTACATGACAGCTAAATTTGAACCAGGGCTGAAATTGGTAAACCAAGCGACCAGGTCCTTTAATGGGAAGACACACTAGCTGAACTGCCAGGTACTAGATGCACCAGAGGAAAAGGGCATATGCTTCAAAAGTATAGACCAAGGGGAGGGTGTTCTTCAGGCATCTAAAGTCTAGACAGACCGACCTTCCAAGTTGCTAGCTGGAAGTAAGAGAGAAACCAATTAAGAATCCAGGTAAGAAGATAGTTGGATTAGAGTACTGGGATTGTTGTGAACCTTACAAGAGCAGAAGCACATAATGGGTAACCAATTAGGAAGGTTGTGTTTAAGATATAGATTGGGTTACAGCAGCACCCCAAAAGTTGGCTTGAGATACGAACCCGTTGGCAGCAACACAACATGTACTAGTTAGGAAAAAGTTACTAAACATGTAGTTGAATACATATGTGAGACATGTACCATACTGTTAGGTTTACTACAAGGATAAATACCTTCTGTTGTTGGCTAAAGTCTTAGTGTCTTAAACGGTAAATTGTCTCTATAAAAAGAAACATATTAGGAGGAAACATGTAGCATTGGTAAAAGCCAAAAAGTTTAATTAGATAGCTTCCTAGTTAGGCTATAGGTATGACATCTAGTGTAGAACCTCTAGCATAGCACTAACACTATGGACAAACTACTTAATTAGGCAACCAAAAGTTGTATGTGTGACTAGTTGTACTTTCATAATACTAATATAACATGTAGTCTATGTCTTCAGACATTGACTACTTGCTTAAACTAATAAAGTGCCAGAGACTATGAGTGGTCACCTTAATATCTAAAAAAAAAAATAATAATAATGAAGTAGCTTTTTATTTGTTCTTTTTTTTGAAAACAGCTTCTTGAAGTTTATTTTTAATTTGACCAAATTTGTAAAGTATGTTAAAAAAAAAAGACAATTTTTTACTTTAATTATAGTAAAACTCTCTTCAAAAAAGCATTGTTTACAAGCAGCTTTATGAAATACAATAGTAAAATATTAATAACAAATTGGTAAAGAATAGAAAATTTTTAGTAAAATTTGTTCAAAAGAATTTAGATAATTGTTAAAAATTAAAATTAATATAATTAAAGAAAAATACTATCTTTGTAGCTATTTAATTTTTTAAGAAGCAAACTAGCTTTTGGTTTTTTAAAGTTTTTTTTTAATTTGGCAGTCTTGCCAATGCTATTTATTAGATTTATGTTAAAATATTTTTGGTTACAAATACTATGAGTACAATTACAACTATCTAATATTAATTATAAGTATTAGCTTATTTAATTATTAATTTAAGTACCTATATGCAATCAGCTATATAAGATTTAGAGATGGCATGTTACGATATTGGACATTTGGGCAATTTGGATATTTGGACATTTGGACAATGTCCAATTGTCCAAATAATTTTATTGAACATAGTAACTTTTTTTATTGGACATTAAAAAAAAAAAAAAATTTAATCTTGGCCTAAATTAAACTTAATTCAGGCCAATATTCACCAATACAAAATAACTCTAATCTTTAGCATATTATAATAATAATAATTATTATTATAATAAAATATATATTTGTAAGTTGTATTTTATAGGATTGAATCAACTTAAATTTCATTTTACTTACAACATATTTATATATGTACTTGTATTGTCTAGTGAAATATAATTAATCAAATAGAATGTTAAAAACTGTAAAATAATTTGTATTTCAAAAGGAAAAATGACAACAGTTGATTTTAATTTTAATTTTAAAATAAAGGCATATTATAAAAGAAAGTACACCAAATAAAATAAATTAGCCAAGGTTGTCACTTTGAATTAGAAACATTCATTAATAATTAAAAAGTAAAAAAGTTTATAAGAAATAAAAATAAAATTAGCAAACGTCATTATTATAGTTAAAAGCAATAAAACATATTATTAAAATTGTCCAATAAAATTATTGGACAA